TGGTTCTTATCAGGTGGCCCTTTCTATATACTTCTCTGCATCTTAACAAACATATTCAATCGTAGGGGTGGTAACCAGGGTAAACCTACCCAGAACATGGGCACAAATTCTTTGATATTCCTGTCATCAGGAGGTGGGAGGTTTATGTCCTCTCCCCTAGAAAATGGGTGGGCTCTGTGACTACTATGAACAATAAAATATGACAGAAGCAACACTGTTTCAGTTTCCAGACTGGCTGCTTGTATTTCCTGTCTCTTGGAGCCCTCATCCCACATATAAGAAATTCAACTACCTGAGGCTGCCATGCTGTGAGAAAGCCCAACCTGGCCCAGGGAGAGGCTCTGTGGAAAGAGGGAAAGAGGCAGAGAGACAGAGATCCATCCAGCTCCAAGCTATTCAGGCCCCAGACATCATGGAACAGAAACAAGCTGTCCCCACTGTGCCCTGCCCTAATTCCTGAACCAGAGACTTGCACTTTATACTAATGATAAATGATTAAGTCTTTAAGTTTGGGGGCAGCTATCACACAGTAATCGATCATTGAAACATCATACTCCTGTAGACTCTCCTCACTACCCAGTGGGTGCCATCTGACAAAAGTCATTAGGGCTGATGATCACATTCTAGACTTCTCTTCTTTTTGAGAAAATGAAACTGCACCGCCCTCTGAGGTCAGATGTGATTTTCTTTGCTTCAGAGAATGAAATGAGAACAGAAACGACGTGTGTCACTTCCAGACAAGAGCTTCAAAAGCCAGCGGGCCATTCACTATGGTCTCCCCTCAGACATTATGACCAGAGATATCAGATGTTGAAGATCTATCAACCTGGGTCCCTGGCTGAGAATAACATGGAGAAAAGCTACTTACAAGCTGCTCATTCCACACCCCAAGGTGGACATGTCATGCGAACAAAAACATAAAGAGACATTGGTGTTGTTTGTGACTGAAGCATAATCATGGTGACTGACATAGTAAGTTCTTTTCTCAAGCTAATCCTGACCAAAACGACCACATGCATGAGAGAGCATTTGAACCCTGGAATGTTTCACACACAAAAAGAGGAGGTCTGTAAATTAAGCAAATATATATGTCTATCTTTTTGACAGCTACAACCAGGAACACCATGGAAATCAACCATGTGGAAATGCAGTGGCCATAAGAATCCACCACCTAGACCTCTAACTACAGGGAGCATAAGTGACCGAGGGCCCCGTGGCTACACTGCACTCCTCCCACACCCCCCCACAGGCTCCTCACAGCCAATGGCAGTGCAGTGGGGATGCTGGGCAGACCTGTCCCTGGGAAACACAGGCCTCCTCCCGGCAGTCTGCAACACTCCCATTCGATCTTACACCCTCTCCTGCACTTGGGGTCAGATTTGCATTGCAGCCTGACAACTCCCCCAGCCTTTCCCGACCTTGCTCCCCATTTTCTCTCTCACCAGCATTTCCCCTAGCAAAATCCTTGCACATTGAACCTATCTTGGCATCCACTCCACTGAGAACGCAGACTAATACAACTATGTCGATGAATATTCAGCCTTGAAAACTTTGCTTTGATCAATTAAACATACAGAGACAGAGCTAGCTCTTGCTGGATGGGGGCTGTTCCATTAATCTAAAGTCACAATTTTACATGATGTCCATGGCTATGGTTAGATCCAACTCCTAAATGACCTACATTGACATGGTATCATTTTCTTTAATGTGACTTTTACAAAGTGTGATTTAACCTTTCTCCAAAAATGTATTCCTCCCTAAATGTCCAAAATAGGCTTCCAATCTCTTATCCAAAACCCTGGAGACCATGCATTTTGGAATTCAAAATTTCATATATTAGAAAAGTAATATTACGACTGCCATATTTGACGTAACCCAGCAGATCTGGAGCAGAACTCTACAATCAAATACATTAATTTTTTTTCTTCCATATAACACACAAATATTAACTCAAGTGAGATTTTAAAAAAAAACAGCCTTGAGACAGTTTAGGTATGGGTTTGCCATCAAAGACAATTATTTTAAAAATTCCGTTTTCAGAGATGTTTGCATTTTTGAGTTGTGAATACAGGATTGCAGACCTGTATATCCACACTACAGAAAACTGTGCAGCCCTATAAAGAAACTAGCTTCACCTCTACACTAACACAGGAGAACAACTGGCTGCCCCACAGACCTGCATGAAGAAAGCATGCAGCAGGACAGCCTGCACTGGAGGAGTGACCTTATACACAGAGTGGGAAGAGGAAAGGTGGAGACCAGCTCCACTTGCCACTTCCCCTCTCCCCTCCTTTTCCCACCCACAACCCTCTGTAATGACTTCAGCTCTTGTGGAGCGATGTTGTGGAGACACTGTTTGTGAGTATTGATTGTGATGTGGTAATGTTTTTAAGTATGAATTTATTTATATTACTTATGAGAGAGAGACTAAATTCACCTCTACAAACTGCCTACGCTGATGGCAGGTAACTAGAATGTTTTGCATAAACTGGGGGCTGAGATAGTTCACAGGGAAATTTACTTAGGGCATTAAATAAGGCTCTTCTGTCAGGGCAAGAGACCCAGAAGGCGAAAACCGTGGACAGGAACCCCTGCAGTAGACTTGAGATGCCCAGTATCTCTTCCACATCAAAGGAGAGGACACAGCATGGGACTGTTCCCACAGGGAACTTCTCAAGAAACACCCAATTCTGGACATTTTTCCTCATCTGTTTTTGGCCCCTGTCCTGACATTCATAAAAGGCTCTTTTCTTCATCAACCATTTCGGAAGCCAAGAGCCAGAGGAGAGGCTGTTAACCACAAACAAAATAAAAAGATGACGAGCAAGATGAAAAATAAATTAAGGAGGAAATATTCTTTCTAGTAGCTCAATAGTCCTGGGAGAAATGGTCCGTGATGGATAAAAGTTAAGGAATCTTAATTAGGGGATTGGAAATCTAATATGATAACATTCACTTTGCATTTTATATACTCAGTATTGACTGTATTTTTCCACAATAAGCATGTATTAAAATCACTTCATGATTAAAATTTTTCATTTAATTATGGGAATTACTGAGAACAATCTTTGTTAATATATGTAAGGTGCTATTATTATTCTCTATGAGCCACTCTCGGGAGATGTACCAAGTGCAAACACTCTGCTTGGCCCTCTGACAAACATCATTCCATTGTGTGCTGTTTATTCAACCTCTAAATCTAAGGGACCGAGCTTGGCACTGGAGATACCCCCGTGAACAAAACAAGTGCGAACCCTACCCCAAGAAGCAGGTGCACCATTGTGGACACAGGCTATTCAGCAAGTTATTGCACATTTAATGATTCGATTCCACTTGTGGTGAGTGCTATGAAGGGGAGCACTGTGACCCATCAGAGCCTCATGGCAGCTCTCTGAGGTGGATGCCATCCTCAATTAGGGATAGAGAGTTAACATTCATATTTGTAACATTAAGGTAGGTTAATTATAATACCATAAAATATACTGAGCAAATAATATTTTTATAATTACAGCTATTATGGCAATGATAAGAAATTATTTTAGGTCAACCGGTCAATGGGGGAAAGGATGGGAATAAATGTGGAACTACATCTAAATGTGCGGGGGAGTACAGGGATCATTACTGCCAAGGATTTCACCAGCTCTGCTGGGTTCCTTCATGCAGAGGCTTGGAGACCTCCACTTCAAGACACCCACCCCAACCCCAGAACAGCAAGATACTAACAGAAAGACAACCTGGAAGCAAATACAAGGGGTGTATTTTCCAAGGATATGTTCCATATTTTACAAGCATTTTTAATTTTAAAGACGCGGGCCCTTTGTGCCCACAAACCACTAAAGTAAACTGGAAATCTCAATACTTTTATATTCGAACCGTACCCAAGAGTCCCTCTTGAGCCTAGAAGTAACACACAAGTCCTATTCAGAGCAAATACCCTGTCTGTTTGGAAAACATTGCCACTGTGCTCAAAAGGCACTAAGTGGCAAGACATGAACATCTTCCACCAAGATCGGCTGCTCCATGAGACGAGCATGCAGAAAGGCTTGCTGGAGCTGCAATACTAACCATGGTATCTGTGGTATGGAATTGCCTTGAAGGTAGCATCTGCTCAAAATAAAATACTTTGGAAATCTGGGGGGTGCTGGGGAGACCTGCTCCTCCCATCAGCATAGACAGCCAGGCTTCAAAGTTGCCATAATAATGTAATCTCAGATTCTATAAAATGAGAGCTCATGGAAATGGAACTTGCAGGTGTAGAAAAACGGGCATTCCATCTAAATGCATGTGATAAGTACTTCCTGCTTCTCTCCTGACCAAGGCTGGCAATTACAACAACTTGACAAAGATCCTCTTGAACTAAATATTGTATATGTTTCTTTACTTAGTGAATCAAGAACTTAAAATTAGAATTCTAGGTCCATGGGTATCTCCTGACAGCTCACAATGGAGTAAGCTGACTTATTACACAAAATGAGAGCATCATAGTGAATTCAGACTGGTGCGAATGAGACAGCCAACCTTTGATGAGACCTTAACTTGGCTTCACTTTAATTTTTTGCTGTCTCAAAATTTTTATAATAAAAAACTATGTCCTAAGATATGGCAAATCCATGGGACTTTTGCTACCACACCCCTCTTTACAGCCATAGTAAACCTTGCTCCCCCTGTGACAGATGTGGCCTTGCAGGACGGCTTAACAGGAAGTTCCAAGTAGCCACCATCCATAACCTCAGCAAGCACAAGAGTCAGTCTAATTGCCAATCCTGGATTAGACTATCTTACTTGACATTCAAAATGCCGTATTCTATGACAATAAATGGATCCCATCGGACTTAAAGCTGTCACCATTGTTAAGACCTGTTTGATATGGCTAAGGAATATAGATGGTACAAGAAATAAGGCTGAAGTCACCATCAAGTCAGTTACACCATGTTGACCTTTCTCAGTTTCCATTAGTTGTACTACAAACAGATAAAATATTACATCAGCCAGTCACTGACCTTGTGGAGAGCAGGAGCCAAGACTGGTACCAAGAACCCATTGTAAATATAATTTACAAGCTGGTTACGAATCAAAGGATGAGCCACCTAAGAGAGAAATAAGTAGTTATAAAAATTACAAAGAATTCAATTTTTAGGGCTTCTTAAAAATCAAACATTTCTGTGTACATCCTGAATTCAAAACAGAAATCCAAATTTTGGCCATTTATTTCATGGTTAAAGAATAATTCAGACTTCAAACCACCATGGAATTTTTCCAGATAGTTTATTCCAGTGTAAATAGTTTGGAATTTAAAAAAAAAGAGAGAGAAAGAGAGAGAAAAGCTGATAGTTTTAAGTAGTTTCTATTTGAAAAAAATAGACTGAAGATGTATACAGAGTCGTATCATAAAATTCACAAACTAGAAAGCATAATTTTACCCCATAATTTCATCTATGTCCCATCTCAATTTGTGACTAATTTTAAAAAAGAATACAACTGTCAAAATGGACAATTAAATACATTTATTTTGCTGGTAGAAAATAATTTCTCATTTTAGAGGTGCATTTTCTGCTACTCATTTTATTAAGGAGGAAGGCATTTAGAAATTCTGTTCATAAAAATTAGATCCTATTCAAAAGCAGAAAACATTATCAGAGGCACAAGTCTTTCTATATTTGATTTACAAAATATATATTGTATGGATAACCCCCACTAATATCTTTAAATTTATCTTTATTGTTGAAAGTACTACAGATGTTCCCCCTTTAACCCCCCATTAACCTCTCCACCCCATACCCGCCCCCCACCTCACCAGGCCTTCACTGCAACTATTGTCTGTGTCCATGGGTTATGCATATATGCATACAAGTTCTTTGGTTAGCCTCTTTTACAAGTAATCTTTTCAATAGCACCCCCAAACAAACAAACAAAATCTTAAAAGTCTATGGCCTCAAAATATTGAATGAAATATATCACTTCTCGGTTCTTAACCATGCCTGTTAGCTTTAATTCTCTTTCTTAAAAAGACATACAATCAAATCAAATCAAATAAACGGCATTTTCTAGGGAAGTGAGGCTAGATCTTTAAATTACTAATAATCTCTCTCTGTGTACATTTGGGGAGAAACTAACAGTTCCATCTCTTTTATGTCCACACACTTCTGCAGGAAAATGTTGATAGACTGTAATATTAAAGAAAAAAAATAACTTAAGATGTAATCCACTTATCTTATATATAAATAAAACTTCCTTTGACTTAGCAATAAAAATGAGATGGGAACCAAAGTGATTTACTGCATTTCTTTCCAGAAGCTATTTCTTTATTTGGTAGATAAACAGATTATAACTAACATTTTTCACCTCACAATCACCATAAAGAAAATTTGATTTCTTAATAAATCCAATATTGAGGTGATGCTTATGCTATACAGAAATAAAACATTTTTGATGAAAACCTACTACATCCTTAACTGTTTATAAAATCTAATTTTTATTCAAAACAGTAACAAAAAATCTGAAAATAAAAATCTAATCAAGAAGCCAAATATAGTAGAGTTCAGTGGCATTTTTCCCCCCAAAGCAGGCCAATTTCAAAGCAAATGTAATTTGTGTTGCTAAGAAGATGCTTAAGTTCTTCTAAATTCAATTGGGATAACAATATTCTTTATGTAGAATGCACCATTAAGCACAACAAAGTGTTTTCCTTTGTAGACTCCCCAAAAGACCTTGAAATAAAAGTGGTATAATTTGGAGTACTTAGAAGCCTAAAAATATCTATTTAATGAGTCAGGCATTGAACTTATTTTTGATGGTTAAGTGGATAATCAAAACATAATTAGCATTTTTTATAAGGAAGAAAAGAATATCTACTTACTTTTTCTCAATTAAAACTTCCCAGAAACCCATAAACTAACATTTTTACTCATTCAAGAACACTTAGTATGCTTTGAGTAAAACATCAATATTCCATAAACATTAAAATTAAAAAAGGGCTATTTATATACTACTCCTTTACCATGCTTATACTCTGAGTGGATCCTAACAAAGGGTCCCTGCATTGCACTCAGTACCTGTATGACGGCGTTGCAAAACTCCAGGGAGTTCATGAACTGGACGAGAGAGGGGAGTAGGAGCCAGTCATCTTTCAGAAGGCAGTGCCACTCCTCGCCTTTCTCTTCTAGCTTTGTAGGCAGAGAAGAGTAGAGACCACTGAGCCCAGTTGCAAGCACCTGTGTTCAGAAATAAACATGTAATCAGCTCTTTTCCAAAGATTTTTAAAAATATGTTTTATTGGTTTTGAGAGAGAGAGGAAGGGAGAGGGAGAGATAGAAATGTGGATGAGAGAGAAGCTTTGACTGGCTGCCTCCTGCATCCCCCCTAATGGTCACTGAGCCAGGAACCCAGGCTTTTGCCCTGACCGGGAATCAAACCAGCAACTTTCTAGTTCATGGGTCGATGCTCAATCACTGAGCCACACCAGCCGGGCTCTTTTCCAAAGTTTGAACCTGCAACTAACAGCTCCCCAGGGTGGCCAATGCTGCTGGTCCAAAGACTGCTCTTGAAGTAGCAAGGTATTAAAATATGAGAGGGTATTTTGCTAGCTAGGAAGGATTCGACAGGTGAAGATTAGCAGGGAAGGACAACTCCTGTAGAGGGAACAGCAGCAACCAGGGTATTTGGTTAATTCATACACGGTAGATACAGGTTGCTTGTCTCTTCTGTACTAGGCACATGCTGGTCTAAGGGTAGGGGGAGTGAGGGAGAGGCAAAGATGAAGAAAACATGATTCCTGCCCCCAAGCTGTTGAGGAGAGGGGCAAATTCATCAACAAGCATTACAGTACCATACACTGCATGCAAACTCAGAGAAGGCACAAACCCAGTCTCTGGGAGGAAGCCCTACCAGTGGTCGGCAAACTCATTAGTCAACAGAGCCAAATATCAACAGTACAACCATTGAAATTTCTTTTGAGAGCCAAATTTTTTAAACTTAAACTATATAGGTAGGTACATTGTTATTAACTTAATTAGGGTACTCCTAAGGCTTAGGAAGAGCCACACTCAAGGGGCCAAAGAGCCGCATGTGGCTCGCGAGCCGCAGTTTGCCGACCACTGCCCTAGATTATGGCAGCCCAGGTCAGAAGATCTCACAGGTAAGAACCATGAGTGGCTGCAGTGGTTCTCAACCTTCCTAATGCCATGGCCCTTTAATACAGTTCCTCATGTTGTGGTGACCTCCAACCATAAAATTATTTTCATTGCTACTTCATAACTGTAATTTTGCTACTGTTATGAATCATAATGTAAATATCTGATATCCTATATGTGTTTTCCGGTGGTCTCGACCCATAGGTTGAGAACCGCTGCTTTAGAGAAAGAGTCCTGCAAACATGTTCAAGGTCATGACTGACACGTGCCTATTTACAGTTTGAAAAGCACTTTAATCTGATCTTCACAAGTGATAGCAAGAAGAAAGAACTGGGGGCCATGGGTCAGCTAGACATGATGACAATAGTTCAAACAGAGCTACAGTGGGGCTAAGCTGAAGTATCGGCAGTCGGAAAAGAGAGGAGGAAATAAATTTGAGATTCATGTGTGAGGTGGGTGTGAGGGTGAGCTAACCATGACATCTGTCGATCCAGTATTGATCCAAAGCTCATGGGGTTTACTTCCTCCCTCAATGCTATGTTCCTAAAAGGACAGAGTTTGGGCTTAGTAAGTGAGGATGAGTGAGAACTCCAAACTATTAAATTATCCAGCTTGGTCATTAAGAAAATAATGATGTCTTTAACAGAGACAGAAATGTGGGCAAGGAACCCAATTGTGCTGTGAGCCTGTTGATTTTATCTTGTGCAGCATAATCTGAGGGAAACTATGGCTGTCACAGCTGGGAAGTGACGATCGCCAAACAGCACCTCAGAGATCCTGATCAGGCAGAGGAATAGCACGGAACAGAAGCAAGAAGTTACCTATAAAAGGCGTTCCTCTAATCCCTGAGGTTATGAGGGACTCAGATGGGCTAGAAACATTCAAGAAAACATTCAATCCTAACTTAGGCCCAGAAAAGAAACAGCGAAGTTTTCATTGATTTCAGAGTCTAATAAGAGATGAATCAGCAATTATAATAGTGTAATAAATGTTCAGAATACATGATAGAAAATGCATGGTGCTGTGGATATACAAAAGGCCCTTAATCCAGACTTGGGGTGGGGGAGCACGGAATGGTCTCAGAAGAAGTGACGCCCAAGCTGCTAAAGAATAAACAGTAGATGGCCAAAAAAGAGTGTTGAACGGAAGAATGTTCTAAGCAGAGTGTGTACAAAAGCTCAAAGGAAGAAGGAAAAATGGCATGTTCCAGGAATGAAGAGCAGTGCAGTGCTACTGGAATGTAGAATTAGAAGTGGAAAGAGCCGGCAAGGTAAGCAGGAGTCAGACCCTGCAGGGTTCTGTAGGCCAAGATAAAGAGCTTGAGGGACATCCACTGAAGAGCCCAGTAGACAGCTGTATGGACTTGATGCTTAGAGAAGGATCTGGGCTAGAGATGGTGATCTGGAACCATCCATATGTACATGGTACCTCAAGCCATACAGACCAGAGGGAGAGGGAAGGGAGATTTAGGCAGATGAGATAAAGTAACCCATAGTGCCTGACATCAGAAAGTCAGAGGAGGTGGTGGGGGTCCAGGTATGTAAAATGATCTATAACCTCATTGTTGCCCCTCCTTCTCCCTTATCCTGTTCCCACAGCATCCTCTGTATTCCTTTGTGTAGCACCTGTCGGTCTTGCATTTATTAGTGTACGGCTGTCTGCTCCGTCTCACCTGGTGTCACCTGTCCAGTCCAGTCCTCACTGGGATGTGGATGACTTGTGCAGGCAGGTATATGGAGCAGCAGAGGCCAACAGTGCTTCCCGTGAGAAACACACCCAGTTGGACAATAGAGTACAGGCCTGGCCTGAGAAATGAGAACCTGGAGGTCTTAGCGCAGAGAAACCAGATGATGCCTCGGGAAGGAGGGGTTGGGGGTCACATGGAGTGGGAGCCCACAGTGGAGTAGGAAGGGCAGTGAGAGAAAGAAGCGAACCATTTCAATATTTGAGAAATCAAAAGATTATGTCTGTTTCTCTGTCCTTTTTCCTAGTGACCTTTTTTCACCCATTCATTCACTCGTTCATTAAAAAAGAATTACTAAGCACCTTCCGGCCAGGTACTAGGGTAAGTACAGGAAATACAACAGTAAACAAGATAATGCATTTATCTCTTTTCCATAATCAAAGCATCTGTGTTCCCAAAGGAGACTGTCCCCTATTTAAAGTACTTAACTCCTTATCTACACACCCAAACCAATCACTTTAACTCCCGTTGTAAATGTGACCCGAGTGAGTTGTCTGTAATAAATTAGAACCTTCTACCAAGAGAGAACAGAGACCAAAAGTTCTCCTTGAAGGGAAATCTAACCTTGATACCACATTTTAAAAATCAATTACATTTGCTAACTCATGCTAAATTAACCACAGAACAAAGGCTTTAATTCTGCATACGCCCGATTCCTTAACCACTTTGAGGCTTTGAAAATGAATTCATAAAGACAGGCTTAATTTGTCTGACTAAAAAGCTGGGAATAACTATTTAGTATATCAATATAATTACAGCAACATTAATCTTCAAATTACATACATCAGTGACAGTAATTAAAAATAACACATACCTAATATTCACTTTTTTAAAGCGTATTCTTGGAAAAGGCATGGCTAAGATGGGAACAGAAGCCTGTCTATAGAGACAGTGCAGTGTGGCGATTGGAACAGAGAACTACCGCGTTCTTGCCACTATACGTGGGGCTAGCGAACATCTCTGCTATGTTCTTCAGGCAAAGAAACATGGAAGAAAATATTCTGCAGAATAAAGAGTATCACATCTTTCTTTTAAATAGGTTTTTATTGATTTTTTAGAGAGAAAGTAAGGGAGAGGGAGAGAGAGAGAGAAACATCGATGAGGGAGAAACATAGATCAACTGCCTCCTGCAAACCCCTACTGGGTTTGAACCCGCAACACAAGGCATGTGCCCTGACTGGGAATCAAACTGGTGACCTCGGTGCACAGGATGATGCTCAACCAACTGAGCCGCACAAGCCAGAACTAGTATTATATAGTCTTAAGAACAAGATTCCAAATCTTTACTGCTAAATACTTAGATCCTCCTTTCTAAGACTGCCCAGAGTTCAGATCCATTCACCCAATCCACATATATTTCTAAAACACTGAGTGTGGCCCGGGTGCTGGAGAAAGAAGTGAACAAGCCAGCCCAGGAGAGATGGAGAAGAAAGGTGATAAACTAATAAATGCAAGAAAGACGATTGCTCCACAAAGGGAACCAGAGGGTGCTGTGGGAACAGGACAAGGGAAAAGAAGAGGCAACAGGTTTGTAGATAATTTTTCCAAGAGTTTAATGGCACTATCCATTTACTTTTAAATTTCATTTTTAACTTAATTTAAAAATATATAGATATTCAACAGCTAATTAAAAATAAAATACCCATCCACCATTTTAGCCTTGCATTGATCCTGGCCACACAAAAGTAATTATAAGACATATTTGTTCCTAACACATTAAGTATTAACCCAATATTTTTAATTTATTTTCTTTCAAGAGTCTCCTTAAAAGAAAATAATCGCCATATAAAACTATAAGGATAATAACGGATAATTTAAACAGCACCACTTCCCTGAAAGCATGGTAGTGGTTGAGACCACGGATTTTAGTATCAGACTAATGCAGCTGTTGAACCTGCCTCTGCCATTTACAGGCAGTGATTAAGTCCTCTAGGGTTCAGTTTCTTTACTGAGTTGCTGTGGGAATTAAAGAAAATAACGCATGTGAAAAGGTGACCATCATGGTTGATACATACCAATGTTCCCATGGGAGGGAGGAAAGGTGATGTGCCCAGAGCACAAAACAAGCCAGGGAAGGTCCATCTTTAACGCAAAACATTCAACACTACCCAGTTAATTTTAGCAAAAACAAAAAGATTTTTAGCAGATGGCTTTAGTCTGAAGCTAGCAGCAGAACACCTGGTAGGGACCATTTGATACACCTTGCCAACATAAAAAGCCTCATAAATTTTAGATATGGGATAAATAATGTTCTACCTGCGGCTGTGTACCTAAAGGTTGCAAAATTTCAATTTGCCTTTCCGAATTTATGTATAGGCTGCTTTCTACTTTTGCCAATCAGTAACAAGTGACAAGGGCTTAATCATTAATATTTGTTTTAAAAAAATCAAAAGAAGACAGGGTCATAGAGTTCCCAATCATTTGTTGGCTCTAAATTGTTCCCTAGGGTATTCTCATCCTCCTTTTCTTGGAAAAGCACATCGTGAGATGAGCGGTGGCGGAACCAGCAAGCTCTTCCTATCAATGACAACAGCAGGAGTTTCCAACAGTGGTCTAGTTTCCTGAAAGAGTCATTACTCTTCCCCACACCTGATGCTAATACACTTTGACAATCATACTAATTAGAGAAAGCCTTTTGTCAATTGTGGTCCTTAGCCGGGTGGTTAATAGAGGATGCTTTTATATTCAACATACAGAGGCCCCCTTTTTTAAAAATTATGTTGTCAGATGTAATTATAGAAAACTGGGGACAAATGAGATTATGGGATCCATCCTGAGGGGCAACTTAACACAACACAGCAGCTCTGTGTTCCATTCTAGAAAATAATGTCAGCTGTAGACGTTGTTTTCCCTCCAACTTTAATGAACTCGACAGTGTTTGAAAACACATTTTTATAAAAGCAACAATTACTCAGTAAAATCTGCTTACAACATAAGTAAAATCTAAACATTAAAAATACGCTCTATTCTAGTCCTAATAAATTTAAATGTTTAAGTATGAAATGTTACAAACATATATAACATAACAGGATAGAAACCATCCCAAAATTTCACATATTTTAATGTTTGCACATCATTTCTTCAGGGAACTCTTTATTTTTATCAAAAAATAAAATCTAACAAATAGAGCTAAACCCTACTCCAACCTCATTACCCTCCCTTATCCTTCCTTCACCCTCAAAAGCAACCAGTCTTGAAGTGAGAACATATTCCAGTACTTGTTTTTGTACTTTTACTGTATTCACATGTACCCAAAAAACAGCATACCTTATGACTTAAAACTTTGTGAATTTACTAACATACTATATGTAACCTTTTGCTACTTGTATTTTTACTTAACATGTTTTTAGACTTGTAGGTATTCACACATATATAGTTACATGTACACTATACATGCAATTCATTCATTTTGAATTCTGTATAGTAATCCATTATGTAGAACAGGGTGCAGAATGTCCGGCCTGTGGCAGTATAAGGCCTACGAAATCATTTGGTCTGACCCTGAATAATTCAGTGTTTGACCAAATATAGCAGGCTAATTTTTTTTTTAAAATATATTTTATTGATTTTTTTACAGAGAGGAAGGGAGAGAGATAGAGAGTTAGAAACATCGATGAGAGAGAAACATCGATCAGCTGCCTCCTGCACACCCCCCACTGGGGATGTGCCCGCAACCCAGGTACATGCCCTTAACCGGAATCGAACCTGGGACCTTTCAGTCCACAGGCCGACGCTCCATCCACTGAGCCAAACCGGTTTCGGCAGCAGGCTAATTTTTAAAACATATTTTTATTGATTTCAAAGAGGAAGGGAGAGGGAGAGAGAGATACACTAATGATGAGAGAGAATCACTGATCAGCTGCCTCCTGCACATCCCCAACTAGGGATCAAGTCCACAACCCAGGCATGTGCCCCGACCAGGAATCGAACCATGACCTCCTGGTCCATAAGTCAATGCTCAACCTCTGAGCCACACCAGCTGGGCTGCAGGCTAATTTTTCAGTTGCTAATTTTGTATGGCCTGTGATTTTATAAATATCCAAATGGCCACTGGCAGAGAAATAGTTTCCCCACCCTGATTAGAACAAGCCAGTCTATTTATCTTTCCTTTAATATATTTCTATTTTTCTCTTCCTCAAATCAATATTCTATTGAATATCTTTGTGCATGTATCCTTGCAAACATATGCCAGACTTCCCTAAGGGGATATCTAGAAGATGCAGGGTCACATGGCACACAAATATTCAATTGTATTAAATATTGCCATATTGCTCTCTTGATTTATTGTCCCAATTTACATTCTCAAGAGTTCCTGTTTTTTCACACCCTTGACAACACTTGGTGTTACCAGATGTCTGACAGTTCACCACTCAGATAAGCAGTATCTGATGTCTCTTTGTGAACTGATTTGCATTTCCAATGCTAGGAAAGATACACATATTTTCGTATGTTTATGGGCTTTGGGTGTCATCTGGGAATTGTTCATTCACATCCTTTGCCCATTTTTCTAGTGTTTTCTCATTAATTTGTAGCACTACAAATATTTTTGTATATTATGGGTACCAATTACTTGTATTTATGTGTGTTGCAAATATCTTCTCCCAGTCTGTGTTTTTTTTTCTTAATTCCAGTCTTTTCTTTATGGTTGGTGCTTTATAATTATGGTTGGTGCAAAAATGTAAGTCTTGATATTTTATTACTTAAGTACAAGGTAGTGATTAAACACATGGGTCCTTGAGTCAGACTAACCAGGTTTAAATTCTGACTGTATCTCTTACTAGCCATGTGCACAGGTTCAAGAATTAGGATGTAGACAGCTTTGAAGTGGGAGGGGGTAGCATTATTCTGCTTGCCACAATTGCTATATCCAGTTTGGAGTGCTCTTGAAGAAATGTAAGCAATAAAACAGCAAAATCAGAATTCTCTTAGGAGTATAATCTGACAATGTAAGATGGTGAATTTGGTAGATGCTAAGAAAGTAGGGAGACACATTAGGGTCTAAACACAAGGATGGTAGGAATGAAAATAAAAAGGAGGAGCTGGATGTGAGCAATGTTGTTGTAGTAGAAGATAAACATTTTTTCAGACAGCTCAAAGAAAGAGAAACTTAGTATGTTGGCACAGATGAACGAATCAGTTCTTCACTTCCCATGTGACTATCAATCTTTGTACAATCTCTTATTCCATTGATCAGAACCCAGAAGGGAAGAGATACTTCGTATCCTCAATTTTTTAACTGCAATTCTATTTTTCAAAAAATTTTACTTATTTGTTGGCCTGAAATAAATATTCACCAGATATGAGGTGACCCTGGTTTATTAGTAGAAACAGGAATTTAGTAGTATAAAGAAAATTACTGCTTTTGGACCTCAAAGCAAAATACATTATGTTACTCACTAGGGTTGCTACTAGCATTTCAAGCAGGTCAGTTCTTTACTGGGCAAGACCATTCCACAAACTGCTGTACAGCATTCCTGGCCCCCTCACACTAAATTCCTCCCCAGCCACCACATGCCCCTATCACAACCAAACACACCCCACCTACATTTCTAAATGCCCTCTAAGTGCCCTCACGCCTGTTCAAGAACTACCCATATAGTGTTAATTAACAATGAATCTAATCTACTTATGTCAACTTGCCTGGCCTGTTCCAAAAAAAAAAAAAATTACTAATGGTCTTATGCAGTCTGCCAGCAGAATCAGGCATATTTAAGGCACTATAGTTTATAAAGAAATACAACGATGCAACTGGTAAAAAGAACAGACAATGGAAATAAACCAGAAATGTTCACTGAGTTGGGAAAATAAAAATAGCTGTTGCCCAACGTAACTGACAGACCAGAAGAAGATATAAATCTGTCCTCTGAATCTTCCTTCCAAAGCCAACACTAATGCCAAAATAATGACCAGAGCCCTGAGGCACCTCAAGAGTCCCGGACAGCTCCCGTTATTTTCTGGAACTGGGACTGGACCTGGGCTACTCCACCATCTGCAAGCGACCTTACACGTTACTTCTCACCATACCAATGATTAAGAAACGATACAGAATAGAGTCTTTCTAGCTACCTCCAACTGCAAATAGGTACTTATTTAAAAAAAAATAAAGTCGATGCTTTGTATCCACAATTATGGTCATTATCTTGCTGAGAAACAAATTAATTTGTGAGACCAGCTGTGAGGGGTCTCACCACATGCCATGATCCGTTGGTGCACAATAAACCTGAGAAGCTAAAAATACAAAAAGAGCAGGTCTTACCAATTGCTCAGGCCATGCTCTTAGAGAAAACTAAAATAGTTTCTAACCCAACAGAAGTGAACCAAGACACGGTTACACACGTAGGTTCCGTATTTTGAGCTGACACTGCTCAACCAATAGCATCTCGATTTAGGATTGCCCTGGTCCCTCCCAAAGATATCCTGTAAATATCTTTCCAAAGAAGGTGCCAAGTACAACTTGCTGAAAAGGACTAATAAAGTATTTATCACCAGCACAAGAGAGGGAAGAGGACTGGGCGAAAAGCATGGCAATGAGGGCAGTGGGACTTACAGGACAAAAGTAGGTGTTCTCCACGATGTGATGGGCCACCATGCTGTTCTCGGCAGAGAGAGACATGATGAAAAGCAAAGCGTCCCGTGCCTGCTGACCCACAGTCCCCTCTCGGTGAATGAAGGGAATTAGAAGGGAGAAGATGAGGAAATTGGCCGCCCCTTGGTCCTCACTCGTGTGGAAGAAGAGTTCCAGGATGGACGGATCTTTGGCAAGGATGGAACAGAGCTGGTTGAGCAGGACAACCAGCTTCCCCTCCACAGCGGGGGTGGCTGTTCCCGAACAAGAGCTCAGCAGCATCATCAGGGGCTTCAGGATGGGCTTGTGGTGCAGCAGAGGCTGGTGCGACTGGGTGACCAGCATCTCGTACATCTTTAGCTGCTCGACTTTGGTGTCATCAGTAAACTCCCGCCTCAAGCTCCAAAGGAAGAGTTTCTCCATTATGTTCTCAGAGACCACAAATTCCAGAATCGGCCCCATGGCAGCGTCCTTGGCTTGTTCTTCAATCAGCAAGAAGAGCATGTGTTCTACATAATTCTGCACTGCACTGGCCTCGTCTGGAGGGATGGACCCGTATTTTGCCTGGGTGTTCTTCAAGGGGTCGTGCTTCTCTAAGATCTTCACAACCTGTAACCAAACCAAACATTTGTCAACCAACTGATGTCCACCATAATGACAAAAACAGGGCACCGATTGTGCCAAATCTTCACGGAAGATATGGGAGCCATGGCCCACAAGAAATAGGTGAGCACTGTGTTGGTCTCTCTCTCTCTCTCTCGTGAGAATAAGATGAAGAGGTTAAACTATAGAAGGAAGATGTTTGCAGATATTCATTTATAATAGTTATCATTTTGGGCAACCTAACTGTTAAAGAAGGCAGTATGGTTATGCAAATTAAGCCACATGCATATCTGGGCCTCTTGTTATGAAGATGATTGAGCAAAATGAAAACTTGTAAATGATATTTTAGATGAAAAAATCAGTTACTTTATATCGTTAGGTCCATCATTATCAACCATGTCAAAAACATGAAAAAAATACCAAAAAGAAATATGAAAAATATAAACCATTTTTGTGTTCAAAGTGATGACAAGTTCTTAAATTTTTTCTAACTTGTCAAAAATATTGCTTTTTAATCTTAAAATACATTAAATAAGCAAGACTACCTGTGTTCTCCTATAAATAGCATTGATTTGAGGATTTCAACAGAGGAACACAGATCCTCATAGGCCCTTCAGAGAACATTATCCTCCCCTCCTCTACTTGGACAAGCACCCTTTTCAGCCAAGCAAGCAACATTAGGAAGGATGAGAGGAAACTGGTTAACAAAAGACATATACCTAGCAGAATCAGATCTAACATATGGCATATGTCTGCATTTCTTGAAGCCAGAAAAAGTTCTGAGATAACCAATTATAAAATAAATCCCTAACGTACAGCATTTCTGTTTGGAGTAATGAAAAAGTATTGGAAATAGTGGTGATGGTTGCATAACATTGTGAATGTAGTTGATGCCATTGGATTATATGCTTAAAAATGGTTAAGATGGACCTGACAGGTGTTCCTCAGTGGACAGAGCACCAGCCTGTGCACCGAAGGGTCGTGGGTTCAATTCCCAGTCAAGGGCACATACCTGGGTTGCAAGTTCAATCCTCAGCCCTGGTTGGGGTGCGTGCAGGAGACAACCAATTGGTGTGTTTCTCTCACCTCAATATTTCTCTCGCTCTCTCTCTCTTCCTCCTTTTTCCCACTCTCTCTAAAAATCATTGGAAAAAATATCCTCGGGTGAGGATTAACAACAACAAAAATGGTTAATTAAGATGGCAAACTTCATATATATCTTTGACCACCAAAAAGAAAAAGTCAATTGACAGTAAAAAAATGAGTAAATCCCTAATCGGGTCATGGTGCTTCTCTCCCTTGCTACCGCTAGCCTGTGGATGCTCCCTGCCTCTTTCTGCCCATCAATACTGACTTCTACTTTGGGACCTGGAAACTAAAACAATGTTTTTTTATCTCAACTCCCATGTAACTTTATGACTTTTATGGTAATATTCATTCATTTCCTTAAAATGTATCCACATGATCATTCTCAAACAACCAAACACTGATGGCTTCATTTTCATTCCGTTTTGCCTGTCTGAACTGCATGCAGCACCCTCCTGGCCCAGTTCCGTAACATGCGGTTACATGCTCTGTATTTAGGTTACGGAATGTTTGCAAGTCACTGGAGAAGCTGGCAATGGTACGATGCTGTGTCAGCATGCATGAGAGCAATGACAGAAGTTTAGTTCTCAGGGGAAGTTCTAAGTTTTCCCTTGTCAGAAACAGGGCAAAGGAACCTTTACAGACCAGGCAAGTTATACCCTTACAGAATGAACAGAATTCTACAGAGTCTGTCACCTCTATCCACTTCTATTATAAAATTAACGATTCTGTTACAAAGGAAGAAATCACCCCAGCACTCCTGAGCTGACATTTTCAATAAGAAAGACCTTTGGTTAGCAGCTCCCCAGGAGGTACGTGGCTCAATGACTGGTGACCCAGCGTGCACACTGGACATGCCCTCCTTCGCTCTATGCTGTCTCTAGAGTGCCCCCACCCTTCCTAACATCCAAGAAGCTGCCCAGAATTCCTCAAAGGCCTGATAACCTCACTGGCAGAAATGCTGGGACCCGTCCCCCTTTCCCTTTGCTCTGGCCTCGGTGACAGAGATCACAGTACCACACTTGTCCAAAAGGGGGCTCCACGTCAACACAGCATAGTCTCCAGCTCCAAAGCCCTAACTTTAAGGCTCCACGTTCTGAAGAACAAATTAGCTGCCCTGCCTTATCACTTCTATAATTTCAAAGTCCACATATCAAGTTTATGTATGAGAGCTATCTATACAGCCAGGCTTTGGGGTAGAAATGTAATTATACTTCTCATGTGTGCTCAGACTGCCTTAACTATCTAAAATTGGGACATTCTACATCGATAGTGGCATAGCAAATTAGCTCAATCCCTTTGGAAAACAATCTGCCAATATGTACAAAAACTACTAAAATTGTTCCTCCCCTTTGACTTGTTAATCTCACTTTGGGAGAAATGCCTAAAGAAAACAACCCAAAAATAATTGGTTAATAAATGTTCACACTGGTGATATTTTTAATAATGAAAAATAAAAATATTATTTACCCAAACGGTCAAAAAGAAGAGAATTATAATCAAAATGTTACCTCACCATACAATAAAGCTATTAAAACACTAATCATATAATTACCTGCAAGTGTATGTATAAAATAATTTAAGTTAAAAACTAAATATTTGACAAGGAGATGTATGATTAGAAGTGAGTCTGATAAGATATAAATGAGATAGTCAAGTTCATAAGTTCTTTCTTATAAATTGGTCTAATTTCATAATATAAGTAAAAATAAAAGTAGACAAAGTAATTTTGTACTAATGTATTTTTTGAAAGGAACAAAACACTGAGTTAAAAACAATAATTGGAAATCTCTTGCAGAACCGGTTTGGCTCAGTGGATAGAGTGTCGGCCTGCGGACTGAAGGGTCCCAGGTTCGATTCCGGTCAAGGGCATGTACCTGAGTTGCGGGCACATCCCCAGTAGGGGGCGTGCAGGAGGCAGCTGATCGATCTCTCTCATCGATGTTTCTAACTCTCTGTCCCTCTCCCTTCTTCTCTATAAAAAAATCAATAAAATATTTTTTTTTAAAAATTGGAAATCTCCTCATCCTCAGAAATTCCTGAGCAATATATATTTATGCATATGTATCTATACTTATATGCATGAATATAGATATTACATATCTAAATGTACACAATACACACAAAAACTATATACATAATCATAAGTTACATTTTTCTCATGAATATTGTTTATTCCAATGTATTTCTTTGCAAACAATTTTTTTTCTATGAAAAATCTAAAAAAGAGAACTGAGATTTTTATATAAAATGCAAACTATTTAGCAGCTTTTAAGACAGAGCATCTTTATAGTGTAGCTCCCACTGCCTTCTGGGTTAATGGGCAGAGAAACATGAGAACAGAGCTATAAACACCTATGGAGATATAAGGTTTGTTGATCACCTGGAATGGAGCAGAACCATCAAGAGCCCTTTATTCATTCCCAGCCCAGGGGTGGTTTACTGCCTGGAAGATGGGTGTGTTACAGCCGAGGCCAGTGAGTCATGGAGTACACAATGCCCAGCAAAGTGCTGATTCTGCCTGTGCTGCCACAAGTCCTTAACCTCTCTCCTTAGGTGCCAGGACCCTCCCAGGCCTCCTCCCTTCTCCTTCCAGGCAGACACACCCATGACCTGCTTTTATAAGTGGGCTCTGGGGGCCCACACTCTGGGCCTGGTTCCTGTCCAAACAGGGAATGCCTTACAAGCTCTTGGCTAGAGCACAACTTGCACTGAAATGCCAAAGAACTTCAGTTCTCATGTTCCAAGGTTGCTGCCCAGGTGTCATAGCTCTTTCAATTTCTGCAGACTGGTTCCTGATGTGATCCGGATGTTTCCTTATATTTTCCTTTGTACCCACCAAACTCCAATTTTCCTGTGTCCCCGATTTTTGCTTGCTGCCTATGTTCACCTATGTATCAACTCTGACCTTCCAGGTCTAGGATCCATGATCCCACACTGCCCCCAGCAGCGTCCCCAGGCCTTGCCCATTCTATGATTATATTCTCTCTCTTATACTCTCAACCTTGCCCCAGATTTCCCAGCCCCAGTTTCTTCTCAACTATGGATACTCTCAGTCTTAGGGATTCAATTGGGGGGCTGGAGGGATCCAAGTAGAGAACAGAGCAGAAGCAAGCAAAATACACATGGCAAATATTTCTTTTACTAAACAAGTTCACTTCATTAGGCTGCAAATATCATTTAAGAAACGAATCAACCCCTGATAAAGTCCATGGTCATTAAGTGGGTAAACCAGCTGAGATCAGAAATTATACTGTAAATGTTTTGCTGAACACAGCCAGACATGTGTTGATTTACAAGCTTTAATAAATACAAGCTGGTATGTATGTGTGCGAATTATGAGCCCAGATCATATATAGATCCACATGTAAGTTATCACAACTCTAAAAAGAAACAAATGAAAAAAAATCAACAGTATTAACACTGATACACAAATTATCATCTAGCGGTTCTCAACCTGTGGGTCGCGACCATCTGAAAACACATATAGCATATCAGATATTTACATTATGATTCATAACAGTAGAAAAATTACAGTTACGAAGTAGCAACAAAAATAATTTTATGTTTGGGGGTCACCACAACATGAGGAACTGTATAAAAGGGTCGCGGCATTAGGAAGGTTGAGAACCACTGAATCTTATATATTAGGATTATCGGGGCTAAATAAGATGAACAAATAGCATATTTCTTTCATAAAGGAATATTAGCTACTCCTATCCTTAGCTGTAATGATGCGCCCCATCAGTCATTGAAAATGGGCCCGGATTTCAAATATTCACAAATTCTAAACAGAAAATTCAAATGCTTTCAGAATCAAAAGATCTACATAAATCACATAATCACACCTCAAGATAACAAATGATTATTCTTCACAATAAACACAAATGTTTCCCTCTCAGGAGATTATCTTTGACTCC